TAAAATAAATAATAAAATAAATCAAAATAAATTTTCAAGAGACAGGCTAAAAAGCCTTTTTCAGAGAATGCAAGTATTTTATCATTCACTGGACAAAAACTTGTGGTTTAATTTTACATGGACATAATTTAAATTGGGCACTGGAAACATTTGATTTTAACTCATGGAGAGCTTTCTGTCTCCCTAGATCTCTCTTTTGCCCTGGGAAGTATTTGGGAGTGTCAGGATCAGGTGACTGATTTGACTGAAAAATCATCTCCTGATTGCATCTAACAGTCTTGATCCAGCAGTTTTATTTTATAGTTAAAGCCCCCTCCCCCCACATCTTTAAGCTTCCAAAGGCTTTCCCAGGGCAAAGGGAGCCCTAGGGAGCATCAGAATCTGAAGGCAGTGTGCATTAAATACAGTGGTGCCTCGCTTTGCGATGTTAATTGCCACAGTAATCTTATGTTTTGATTGGCTAACCTCCGTGGTGTACAGTGGGGATGCTGTAGACATAATATATCTTGACTTCAGCAAAGTTTATGGCAGTATGCCATTGGCAAGGTTTGGAATTTTGTAATTTTGTAATTTTGCAAAAATCGCTGCTAAGCGAAAACATCGCTGTGTGGAATGTTGGTGAAAAGGGGGGGGTATAGAACATGGAATGTGTTTAAAATTACATTGTAAACAGTCTGTTATAAGTATTTTTAATACTGCATTTTAATTTTTATCTTTACATCTTTTATTATATTTAAATTGTTGTAAGCCACCCAGAGACCTTGGGTAGTGCGGGCGGCATATTAGATAGATAGATAGACAGATAGACAGATAGACAGATAGATAATAAAATAAATAATAAAATAAATCAAAATAAATTTTCAAGAGACAGGCTAAAAAGCCTTTTTCAGAGAATGCAAGTATTTTATCATTCACTGGACAAAAACTTGTGGTTTAATTTTACATGGACATAATTTAAATTGGGCACTGGAAACATTTGATTTTAACTCATGGAGAGCTTTCTGTCTCCCTAGATCTCTCTTTTGCCCTGGGAAGTATTTGGGAGTGTCAGGATCAGGTGACTGATTTGACTGAAAAATCATCTCCTGATTGCATCTAACAGTCTTGATCCAGCAGTTTTATTTTATAGTTAAAGCCCCCTCCCCCCACATCTTTAAGCTTCCAAAGGCTTTCCCAGGGCAAAGGGAGCCCTAGGGAGCATCAGAATCTGAAGGCAGTGTGCATTAAATACAGTGGTGCCTCGCTTTGCGATGTTAATCGGTGTAGCAAAAATCGCTGCTAAGCGAAAACATCGCTAAGTGATTTTTAAAAGCCCATAGGAATGCATTGAAACCCCTTCAGTGCGTTCCTATGGGCAAAAAACTCACCTTTAAGCGAAAATCCTCCATACAGCTGCCATTTTTGCTGCCCGGTATGCGAGGAATCCGACCCAAAACACAGCGGGCGGCCATGTTTTTTTTCCGGTGGCCATTTTGGAACCGCCAACCAGCTGTAGGAAAAAGCTTGCTATGTGATAATCGGTAAGCAAAACAGCTTACCGATCATCACAAAGCATTTTTTCCTATTTAAAACTTCGCAATGCGATCGCTTTTTCCATCGCAAATTCTTCGTCGCTAAGCAGTTTCGTCGTTAAACGGGGCGCTCGTTAAGTGAGGAACCACTGTAGTGGGATTCTGGATGAATTGCTTTCACAATTGTAGCTGTGTTAGTCTGTGCAGGCAAGGCATTACATCAAGAAACACAAAACAAAACAAAATTAAAAAAGGAAAAGAAAAAGACGTTGCGGCAATTTAAAGACCACTATATTTTACTATAAGTTTTCATGGAACATTGTCCACTTTTCCAGACATATGAGTAGGATATAGAGACTACAGTGGCTTACATTAAAATATAGCAGTCTTTCAGGTGCCACATGTCTTTTTTGTGTTTTTTGTTTTGTTTTGTTAGAACGGATTCAGCCATATGAGTAGGATATAGAGACTACATGATAAAAAATTTGCTAAGAGGCAGTGGCTTACATTAAAATATAGCAGTCCTTCAGGTGCCACATGTCTTTTTTGTGTTTTTTGTTTTGTTTTGTTAGAACGGATGAATTGTGTGCATTAGCTCATTTGCATTATGTGGTATCTTGAAAATGGTTTGTAGTGCTCTTCTTGCTTTTCTGATGACAAATCCTAGTGTAATAGATGCAGATTTCATCTGGAAAGAATGAAGGGAATTTTCTAGTGACTGCTTCCTTTTCCTTACTGAAAATACTTGAAATGCATATATAGCCTCGTGGCGCAGTGGTTAAAACGCTGTACTGCAGCTAAAACTGTGCTCATGACCTGGGGTTCAAATCCCAGGTAGCCGGCTCAAGGTTGACTCAGCCTTCCATCCTTCCGAGGTGTGGTTTGCACTATTAGATTGATGAGAATTGGGAAGGGCTCACATTACCTTATTTGTCCGTGTATAAGATGATACTTTTCTCAAAAATATTTAGATTAAAAATTTAGGGTTGTCTTATACACGGAAGTAAGGAGGGGACAGAAGAAAGTGGAGGGGGAAAGCACTTTTTTGCAAGGAAACTGGAGGGGGAAAGCACTTTTCTCACAAGAACGTGCTTTCTTGTGAGGAAAGTGTTTTCCCCCTGCACTTCCTTTCAAAGAAGAAAGTAGAGGGGAAAGCAGGAATAATCAAAGTGATTCCTGCTTTGAGGGGGAAAAGTGGAGGGGGAAAGCACTTTCCTTGCTAGAAAGTGGAAGGGGAAAGCAGGAATCATAGTGCTTTGATCCCTGCCTCCCTCCTCCACTTTCTTATGAAGAAAGAAATTATGGGTTAGAAAAGGGGGGCGTCTTATATGTGGGGGCATATTATACACAGAAAAATACGGTATATATGTCTGTACTGTATTTAAAGTGAGAGTTAAACCTGCTGTGTAACATTGATTTTCCTAGAAAAATGGTTGCGGCAGACAGTTGGTGGTACCAGAGAACCTGTCCTTATACAAAGGATTTAAAAGATTCTCTAGCACTTATCTACACTTGTAGGTACCTGTACTCATGTCTGTTGTGATAGAGGCTGATTTTTGTTGTGTGGCTCTGCATGCATTGGTTTTTGCATTTATCCTAAAATCAGTTCACTTTTTTGTGGTATGCAGTTGCAGTGTTTGTGAGACAGTGCCATTCCTTTGGCTGAAATATGCTAACTGAAATCAGTTCTAATATTTAAACTTGTTTTAACATGTGTTGTTTGTTTATAATTACCTTGAATGGATGTTTGCTGCATTCTGTAAATGTTGGAGTTTATATGTTGAAGAGGCTACTAATGATTTTTATTATATAGATTTGTTTATTGTTTTTATGAATCAGGTTAGTTTGCTGCATGGATGTATTTTTTGTAGACTTTTTGTATGTGTAATTGTACATCCCATCTGGTAAAACCGATGGTGTGCTGTTAGCATGAAGATAACTTGAAATAGTAACATTTTTAGTTTTTAGCTGATTGCATAAAGGAGTAGATTTGTTTTGTTGCAAAGAAGATAGAAGCTTTTCTTGATGTACACAACAGTTTTTTTAAATGAGCCCAGAAGTTTTTTGTTTTGAAGAGGAAAGCTTCTTAATTTTTTTAGATTGTATGTTATACGACATAGTTGGGTGAGTATTATGTACTTAATGAAACACTTAAAATGACGGCTTATATATAAAAAAGTAATAACTAAGAACCTAAGGTTTTAAACCCTGAACATAAATGTGAGGAAGTATCTCCCATTAGATAAAGTTCATTTTGAGTAGACTTGTTTAAAATTGAACTATAAGTTTGAGGACTTGAGGACCAAATAGTGTATAAGTAGATGATCTTGTCTGTTTTTAAATTAATGTAAATTAGATAAAGTTCATTTTGAGTAAACTTGTTTAAAATTGAACTGTAAGTTTGAGGACTTGAGGACCACATAATGATCTTGTCTGTTTTTAAATTAATGTAAGATTTCTATAGCCATAAAACTTATTTTGTTAACTTTTTACTGTTGTTCCAGGACATTGTGGCAGAACCGCTTTCTCTGCGCTGCCGAAAACTTAGTAACCCTGACATTTTTTCATCAACTGGGAAAAGTAAACTCCATCGTCAGTTGAGTCAAGATGACTGTAAGCTACGAAAGGGCAGTTTAGCCAGTTCTTTCTCAGGTAATGGTTTTGTTGAACTTACATCTGATGATAACTTGTACAGTGGTGCCTTGACTTACGAAGTAAACTCCAAGTTGAGTCAAGATGACTGTAAGCTACGAAAGGGCAGTTTAGCCAGTTCTTTCTCAGGTAATGGTTTTGTTGAACTTACATCTGATGATAACTTGTACAGTGGTGCCTTGCCTTGACTTCATTCCGACTTATGACCAATTCGAGTTACGACCAGATCCAGCCACAAAATTTTGCTTCGACTTGTGACCGGAGCTTCGAGTTACGATCGGGGAAAAAGGCAGGGAAACCGGTGGGGAATTCAAATTGCTAACCTTTGCGGTGAAGAGGCTGCTTTTTGTAGCTCTTTCACCCTAGTGATTAGCAAATGCGTTTGGAGGAGGCTTCGGACTGCCTGGTAAGGTGTTGCTTTCTGCTTTTTAAAAACTTTGTTTTCTTTTTGGGCCCCCCCCCCCATTTCTGATAGGTCTTGCAGGGTTTGTTTGCCTTTTGGGTTTTCTTCTTTTGTATTTCCGATGGGTCTTGCAGGGTTTGTTTGCTTTTTGGAGTTTTTTCCCCCTTGGCCGGAACGGATTATTCGCATTTCTGATGGGTTTTGCAGTGTTTTTTTCCCCGGCTGGAACGACTTATTTGCGTTTCAGTGCATTCCTATGGCAAATGGTGCTTCAACTTACAACCATTTTGACCATCTTTGGGAATGGATTAAGTTCGTACAGAGGCACCACTGTAGCAGGTTTACAGTATTATATGCAGGTTTACAGTATTATATGTATAAATGAAATTTAAGCTCTCTTTCAACAGATAAAGATTATTTATCTAGGGCTGTAACAAGTCTTTTGAAATACTCTGATGTGAATCTTTTTGATTGAATTTTAGTTATATTACTCTGTAATTGAGCCATTGCATTCTGAACTAATAAAATGACAAGTAAAAAAATGTATTTTTCTCTTTAAAGGAAAGCAGTTGCTTCCTTTATCCACCAGTATGCACAGTGGAGTGGGACCATCAACATGGCAACCAGGTGGAGAATCAACGAATTTGGTCCGCATGAGGAATCAGTCATTGGGACAGTCTGCTCCATCACTTACGGCTGGCTTGGTATGTCTTTATGTATTACATAATTTTTAAATATTTTTCAGAATAATTGGCTTAATTTCTCTACATGACAGTTGAATGTTTAAAAATTTATACTGAACTTGTAAGTCTGCATTAAGCCCCTGGACAGCCCAGAAATTAAGACACTTATATAATGGACAGTCCTCTGGCCTTTATGTTGTATGAAAGGCTGTCCTTAACATGGCTCTCCCCACTTGTTGTGTTACTTGGGAGATCCTTATACATATAGTGAAAGCTCCACTTCCATGTATCGATATCACATTGTCATGATATTATGAAGCTACTTTGACCCTCAGCTGGTATTGCCTAATATTGGGAGAATGATGGAGAATGATTGAGTTTTGTATGCCCCTCAGCCCCCTGTATCCAGCAGAGTATCTAATGTGTTCCAGAGCTTGCTGATAAGCTCTCATTATCTGCCCATTCAAGGTGTACTGTGTTAGAAAGTATGAGGAAAGGTAGATTTCATAGTCTTAACTGTTGTTTACGGCAGCTGTCCCCAACCTTTTTCGGACTGTGGACTGGTTGGAGGGTGTGGGCTCCGTGCGCAGACTGGTTGGGGGTGGGTGCTCCCCTACGCTCACGGGTGGGCATGTCACACTCGCAGGTGGGCGTGTCGTGCTTGTGGAGGGGCATGTTGAGCT